CCGGCGTCCAATACATCTATTATGCCCTTTACGTATCAGTCATTTCCTTGCAATTGAAAGCTAAGTGATCACATGGCCGTACTAATGGAATAATATTGTGCTTTAGTCGGATTTCATATGCTTATGTTTTCCTTCCATTCTCTTTTGTTCATTTCCCCATCCAAAATTAAGCCTTTGATTGTTTGACTGGTCTTCGGTGGAGATTGAATGGGCCGCCGGCCCATTGTTTCTTTCCTTAGCTTAGGCACAAAAACAGCTTACGAATCAAACAAAACACATGCAAGAAAGGAATAGTTTCTATTAGGGCTGGCTATTTGGTCCGGATTGTTTGATTTTATCCGAAACCGGATCGTATAATCCGGACCGGGATTGGATTGAGACAGGATATCAAACAATCCAATCTCATATTCGATCTTAGATTTGAGGTAAAAAACCTCAGATAAAGACCGGATAAGAGACCCCCAACACCTAAAATCAAGATCAAATTGGGACCGAACCAGGTAAAGATCGGACCGAATCAAGACCAGACTGTATCCAATCCAATTTTTGGTCCTTATATTCCCAAAAAAACCGGACTGAAAACAGATTAATCTGGTCCAATTTAACCGACCGTATAGCCACCCCTAGTTTCTATGCACATATATGGTACACGAATTAGAGACCGTTTCAAAGCATACATCTATAAATAGAAGATTTAAGCCTCACTCATTCTTCATCCAACCAAAACACGCAAACAATTAATCCATAGTTTCCCCAACCAAAGACCATTTCCAAAATGGCCACCATCATTTGGCCTCACCACTTCATCATGTTCACTGTGGCCGCTCTACTAGTCACCAATGTCGCCGGAGATCATCATCACCACCGTGATGGATACACACCTCCCGCTCCTTACGCCCACAAATCATGGCCGCCGCCTCCTCCACATGCTTACTATAAGTCCCCCCCGCCGCCATCTCCACATTGGCCGGAGCCATCACCGCCGCCACCTTCTGACCCTTGGTCACCACCTCCACCTCCTCCTTCATGGTCGCCTCCTCCTCCTTACGTAAAGTCGCCACCTCCTCCATCTTGGTCGCCTCCTCCGCCATACGTCCACAAGTCGCCACCTCCTCCTTCATGGTCGCCGCCTCCTCCTTCATGGTCATCGTATCCACCTCCTCCGTACAAATACAAGTCCCCGCATCACCCATCATGGTCGCCGCCACCGCCTTCTTCTCATCATACTTATGAAAAATCTTCACTGTCTCTTCTTGCCCACAACAATTACTACAAACACAAATCTCCACCACCGCCGCACCACGTCAAGAAGGATCCTTCTCCGGTCCACAAACCTCACCGCAAGTCTCCTCCGCCACCCCGTCACGTCAAGAAGGATCCTCATCGCAAATCTCCTCCGCCACCTTATCACAAACACAAATCACCATGGATGCATCACTCCCCGCCGCCTCCTTACCATCACTAGATCACCGAAAGCGATCGATTTCCCAGATCAAATATGAGATCTACATTCACTTAAGAATGCTATATTTTATAAGTTTATGCATTAAATGGTACTAGATGTGCCATGCTTGGGTTATCTCATAGTTTATATCGACTTCTTCAAAAAGTTGCACATCACTAATGATCGATGATGTGGAAGATCAAGAAGAATATATGCTGCCATAGGGTGAAGAATAATCAATGTAATGGTTACAAATAGTTTACTTTTTGGGGGGTTTCTTTGTTTTATTATTGTTGAGGTCTTTAATATAGAGTTAGATCGTCCTCTAGCGATGGTCTATATCACGATTCAAATGTTGGTACTCCATTTCCCATTAGTTGAGTCTTTATTTGCTTAATTCAAGTACCAATCATAATTCATAACTAGTTTTCTTTTTCTGATCTATATTCCTATTCCTAGTTCTTTTTCTGATCTATATTACCATGACTAGAAGCATAGATAACAAAAATTCATTTAATACTCATATACGTATTAACTTAGTAAATATGTCTAAAACTCGTGTTTTCATTATGTTATTATAGACCTAACTTATTTTCCATATTTTTTTGATGTTTCAGATGAAAATAAGTAAGGACCTAACTTATTTTCCATATACGTATTAACTTAGTAAATATGTATAAAACTCGTGTTTTCATTATGTTATTATAGAGTACCTAACTTATTTCCCATATTTGTTTGATGTTTCAAATAAAAGTAAGGACAAACTTTTAAATATATATACTAGTAACTTTTAGACATACCAGTACGTATAAGTAAAAGTAAGGTTTCTCAGCTGTCTATTATTTTAGCTTTTTCACACGACAAGAAAAGTTCCTTTTGTAACCATTAGATATGGTCGCTAATTGTGAAAAATTGGTTACAAATACTTTTTCACGACCCAATGATTTTGGTAGCAGAAATTATCGCTATTCCCGCATTACCAATTCCTAATTCCTATGGCGACAAAAATTATGATTGATAGCCAAAAGGAAGACTTTTGTTTACCATTTTTTTTGGTTGTTGTCATAGTCCCGACTACAACCAGTTTATTTGGTTATCAATTTCACTTTTAGTAATGGAAATTATATTAGTTACCAATCTTTATAATGAATATTTTAACACAACCAACAATTTTGGTCGTGAAAATTATATACACCGACCAATTTAACCATTTAAGACAACAATTTTCCTACTTCTCTAAGTTTAACACAATCATAACATTTGATTGTGATGAACATTTATTCCAACCAATCTTATCATTTATACAGCAAATTTTTTTGGTAATAGAAGTTTAAACGTAACTATAAAATTTGGTCATGAAATGCACGTATGCCGACCAATAAAAACTGCTCAAATGACTACATATTTCGGTTGCCAAAATTTATTATAACCACCACATTTGGTTACAAAAGCACGCATCCTAATCAATAGGTTTTATTTTTTTTTCAGTGAACTATGGTCCTAAAAGCATGGTAAAGGAAACCGTACCGGAAGTCATACCGGATCCGTCAGTGGTAGGGTATTTTGTGGTACGACCGTGATTCAACCGTTGTGTACCGGCAAAATACCGTTTTTGTAATTAAAAAATATTTTATTGTTAAAAAACCATACCGCCATATTAAGGATACCGTTTCGGAGAATACCGGAATAAAACCGGAATATACCGGATAGCAAACCTAAATAAACTAAATAGGAATATACTAGATTTAGGATATGGTTTCATTCAAATGATTCCAATAAACCCCCAATTGTTGTCCCTAATTTTCCACTCTAACAAACTAGAAAAATAAGCAAGCGTTCCTTCTCTAAGTCTTCTTCTTTGACTAGCTTAGCAATGGAGCTTTCTTGATCCTTATCCCTTGTCTAACAGATAATTAATGAACTAATAATTTAATTTTCACTCATTTATTCTTTCTTTTTGAATTACTTTTTCTCATTATCTCTACACCTACTACCACATCCACATATCCTTGACTTTCTCTCTTCCCTTTCCGACTCTCTCTCATCCCCAACCCAGATCCAGAGCAAGATGAAGCTCTGTTTTGATTTCTTTTTTCTCTTCTAATTCTGACAATCGGAGCACCTTTTTCTTTATGCATGTAGCTTTTCTTCCACCAGATATCAATCTAGATCAGGAAATCCACAAACATGGCCCTCGATCTCTCTTCCCCCACTACCTCTCTCTGCTCTTCGACCTTGAGAAGCAAGATAAATCTCTGTTTTTTCTTTTCTTTTCAATCGGAGCATTACTCTCCTCGCTCTGCCTGTAACTATTGGAGTAGTAAGAAACAAAGGTGGTGTTGGTGACCTTGGATTCACGGCGGTAGCAGAAGGCGATATAACTTCTGATCGTCAAAGAAGAGAAGAGGAACGGCAGCGCGGCGGAGCAGGGTCGGCTCGACCTTTCGCCGGTCTTGGGTTGCCGACTTGCCTCGTTTGTTTAGCCGGCCAGGGGTTGCAGCACCGCAGGTCGTTGGTCGTGGGTCGCTAGAGGAGAGGAGAAGCGGCGAGGCAGGGCTAGGGAAGAAAAAACGATGAAGGCTCTCTCCCGATTCGCTTCGATTAGAGATTAGAGTTTTTCTTAAATGGTGATTTTTCTTTTTTTTTAAAAATTTTTAAGTGATGAAAGGGCGGCGCTTCCTTCAATTCTAGTCTACCGCCGGTTGGAAAGAAACCGGGCGGTATGCCGGGTTGTGCCTGTTAAACCGCAAAAATCGACCGAAACGATAAAATGCCATCCACCACCCTAACGTATCGTTTTTGGTCCGGTTCCCGGTTGAACCGGTTGAACCGGCCGGTACGATCCGGTTTCCTGTTCCATGCCTAAAAGTGAATCCTAACCAAACTTGAACTAGTTAATAGATAGCAAAAATTACTACATACAAATATATAGAATTTCGCATATGAGATTATAACAATATCACTACAAAACAAACAACATACAGCAGGGGATTTTCTGTCATTTAGCGACGAATTAAACCGTCGCTAACTAACCCGGCAGCGGTTTTTATGACCCCTGCAAAACCGCCGCTAGGATGACTGCTGCAAATGTATGGCAGCGTTCGGCCCAACCACTGGTGATTGTATTAGCTGCGGTTTTGGCAACGGTTAAAACTGTCGCAATTTCATCTTACGAGACAGTTTTATAGTGAACTTTTGCAGCAGTTATAGGTGTTAAGCCAGCGGTTTTAGAACCCCTACTGTTATCATTATTCCCCAAACCGCCGAATAATCATTTTTGACGATTCCTTTAGCGACGCAAATTAAAACCGTCGCGAAAGTTTACAAATTTTGCGTTTCACAGTTTCCCCATAAAATTGTACAACCCTTATTACCTGCTTACTGGATTTCAAATCTCCCATGAACTTCTATTCTTGCCACAACTAGCTAACTTCAGTCACAGTACACATCACTCGTGGTACACATTATCAAAAGGAAATCAAACAAATAGAAACTCACCAAATCAACAATTCACAATCAAAGTAACACTGTTAAATTTGAGCAAAAACAAGTTTGTTGTCTATTCATATCAAAAGGAAGTCAAACTTTGTTGTCTTCTGAATCGTCCACATCATGCAGTGCTTTCTTTTCAAAACCCATATTCACCTGTTAAAAAGGCATAAAAACAAAAACAAAATGTCATCTTACAAAATAGCTTGGAGAAGATAATGAAAACATAACATGAAAAAAGATTCATGGCAACAAAACCCCCTGGAAGCACATAACAGGAGAAATAAACCGAGTGACATACAAATCTTGGATTTAGCTTTCTTTATCAATTCCTAGCAAATGGAGTTTATCTAACATCAAAATTATATGTAATCAAGTGCAAGTACTCAAGACATTCAAGCTACCATAAAGAGGACCTAAAGAAGATGTGATAACTTGTCAAAAGAACATTGAAACATGAGATTTTATCAACAGAAGCTTAGCAAATAGTTGAATTTGAAACTATATAGACGTCTATGCATGTCTGACTTGAGTGGGGAGTTACTTATCATGGGAGTTTCTTAAGTTCTGCAACTCCAAACATGTTAATGCACAACCACAAATAAAATACAGAAAAGAACTGGCACGCCTAATTAACACAGAGATGCAGTTTGTGTTTTTTTTTTTACTTACCTTTTGTCCTCGTGTAGCAAATTGGCTTGATGAAAATGAACCCTCCATTGACCTCCTTCTGAATCCCCTTCCGTTATTTTCTAGATCACAAAGACAAATATAACCGAATTAATAGAGAGTTGTCCAAGTGCATAATTGAAGCTATTGATATATGGATTAGTTAGTTCTGATACCACATCGGCTTGTTTCCTGGATATCTGCAACCTACAACAACAAATGAAATAGTGATTGAAAGCAAAAGACCAGATTTAAGTTCTTCAATATACTTCTCATCTCTCTCATGTTAGCTATATTTAAGTTAATAAAACTGACATAAGGGGTGGGAAAGTGTAGCACAAAAGCATATCTTCAACACATTTCCTGTCTCTCGGGTTAGTTTCTAGTTTGTCTATTTTGAAAGCAGACCAATAGGAAGAGCAACATAGAAGCTTGATATTGAAATATATAGAAAGCGAACCAATAGGAAGAGTAAAAGATAAGCTTGAAACAAAAAAAAAAATACCCACAAAAGATGGAAATAATGAAACAAAAAATGAAAAAAAAAACCAAAGTCTAACCTTGCTTGCGTACGTACATAAGTATAGGGAAGATGTACCTGACAGCATGACACAATCCAAATTTACAGCTTGCAACTCTTCAAATCCATCCCTCCTACCTCATCTCACACAGTATGGCTGGTCATTTATTTAACCGAAAGAAAAAACAAAGCAAATATGGGTACTTCTTCACTAAGTTAAAGGAAAATAACGGAAGTATCTTATGACTGCAAAATTTGCAGAAGCTAAACCCATTACATTACCTTCTCGCTCGATTTAGTCACTTCTTGTTCGTACTTATTAAGCGGTCCAGGGGTCCCGGAAGTATCTTATGACTGCAAAATTTGCAGAAGAGAATATTTCAGAATTCAGTCTCTATCAACGAAGAATCAAACAGCAAATTGAAAGAACCTGTGTGACAGTAACCTGATTGTCTAGCTTCATATCTGCTGTTATAATCAACGACGAAGATGTATTCGGTATAAGCGTTGATGACAGTGGATGAGGACTTCCATTGCTCTTGAAACTTTCTCCCCACATCCCCATCCCTCCCGAAGTCACGAACCGAGTCGAGGAAGAGTTCATGCTTGCTTTTGTAACGGTTTGGGGTACCTGATCAATAAGCTTTTGAAAGAGAAGAGTCAGGCAGCAATGAAACTAAAGACAGTAAGCAGGAATCAGAAAGCGGAAAGGAGAGTTCAAAAGTTCTTCCTTCGAATGCCCAAGCTCATAAGATATAGACCAGAGGATTAATAGGACAGAAAGTAAAACTAATAAATTTTAAGTTCTTCATCACAGTACACATACCGATAAGTGGTGAAGTTGTAGGGAAATCAACTTCGCATTTTCATGAAAGAGTGTCAATGGTAACTTAATATCAACAAGCTCCACTGTAGAAGTGGCTGACAAATATCAAAGAAAGAGAGACATTACTAGTGATTAAAAAAAGGTTCAATATGGAGTGACGGAAATAATCCATATGGTGAAATAACAACTGGTACAATCGGTGGAGTTTTCCCATCCTGTAAAACCAAAACAAAAATAAGTATAACATTGACTGAAAAGATAATAGTAAGAGACAGTTAAACACTTGTGCCTCTTTGCATCACAGTCAAGCTATTGAGATAACAAACAACCGATTGTGTAGTGTTCTTGCCATTTCCACCATTAGTTCCAACTACTCACCTTCTCATTCTGGAGTCACAAAATTTAATTTTATTCACTTTCCAAAGCAAAATTAACAGACGAATGGATTCATGCCCAATTTTCATCATTGGTAGGTACTTCTAATTGATACGAATTCAATAACCCAAACATCACAAATACCAAAACCTAATTGCCTCTTACGAGGCCTGATGACTTTAATTGAGATTGATCCACATCTCGCTTCTCCTCAATGCACACAACAACCACAAAGTTCATCTCGTCATCAAAACTGAAGTTTCAATTGCTTGCTGACTCTGCCTCCTTCATGCTAGAAGAAGACTGTATAACAGAGAGAGAGAGTTCACCATAAATCCAAGTCAATAAAGAGAGAGAAAGAAATCAATTCACGAGTTCTTACCAGCGGACGAGAGTAGACAGATGCGGAACCAGGGAGACTGTAAATACTGGCAGAACCACGATTCCGCGAAGGTCAGACCTCCAGACGGAAGAAGGAGATCTGGGCGGCGATAGTGAGTTCATCGGAGTTGCAGGTAGACTGGACGAGGGTCGAAGCAGAGCAAGCAAAGATCTAGGTTTCAAGCTGCAAAGGTTCGAGAAGAAATCAGAGGATTGGGGTCTCCTGTGCGCGTGGTGATGTTAGGGTTCTTGCTGGAGAGCGGAGAAAAGAAAGAACTCGATTTTGGAAAGAAAAGGAATCGGGGACCAATTTTTTTTTAATCGAATTGGGAGAGCTTTACAATTGCAAAAAAAAATGGGGAAATGGAAAACCAATTTCCGGAGGTAGGCCAATTCAGTTGGGCCGGGTAAAGATATAAGGATTTGGGGATTTTTCCCAAAGCGGTCCCCTTAACCGCTGCTTATACCGCTGCATAAGTTTTATCGAGTAAAACCCGGCAGCCAATCTCACAACCGCTGGAAAATGACCCCTGCCGTAGGCGACTTTTGTTGTAGTGTATCCAAACCACCGATAAGAATGTCATGACGAGCAACATCGTAACTAGGAGGAGTATAGAACATAATGATGCCTATTCAATGACTATTAGCCAGCCATGGTTAACATGAAACCCGGCAGCAATATGTAGCTAAACTTGTATGTACGTCGCCCGCCGGCCGGCGTCCAATGCATTATTATCCGGTACGTATCCATTTATACTTTTATTCAACTGAAAGCAAAACGGGCGCACTAGTTAATGGAATCATTGACCGGAAAGTTCTTAACTTGCCGTCTTGTGGCTAATAGCGAAGATGGTTATAGATATAGTTAGATTTGCTAGGATTATGTTTTCCGATTTCCTTTAACTACTTTCCAACTTGAGCTTAATCACTTAACTACTGTTCTACTTAGTTAAGGTATAAACGGCGATCATGAATCAAACAAATATGGGAGCGACGATGGTTCCTATGCATGGACATGGTTCACGACGTTGGACCCTTTCAAAGTATATTATTATGAAATGATGATTAGTTTAACACTCTAATAAAAATACATCTATAAATACAATACCTAATCTTCAGTCTTCACTCATTCTTCATCTAGCCGCGGTACACAACAATATTATCCATCCATAGTTTTCCCCAACAAAAGACCATCAAAAATGGGCACCATCATTTGGCCTAATCACCCCTTGATCATCACGTGCATTGTGGCCGCCGCTCTTCTAGTCACCGATGTCGCCGGAGATGGTCATCATCACCGTGATGAGTACGAATCATGGCCGCCGCCTCCACATGCTTATTATTATAAGTCTCCCCCGCCGCCGTCTCCATACTGGTCGTGGCCGCCACCACCTCCACCTCCTCCTCCTTCATGGTCACCACCACCACCACCTCCTCCTCCTCCACCTCCACCACCTCCTCCACCTCCACCTCCACCGCCGCCGCCGCCACCACCACCACCACCTCCTCCTCCTCCTCCTTCATGGTCACCACCTCCACCTTCATGGTTTCCAACTCCTCCTCCTCCTCCTTCATGGTCTCCACCTCCTCCTTCATGGTCATCATCTCACGACGTGGATGACAACCACTCTCCTTCTGAACACGCATCTAGCCATGATCATGAAAAATCTTCACTGCCTCTTCTTGCCCACAACAAGTACTACAAACACAAATCTCCTCCACCGCCACCACCACCGCCTCACGTCAAGAAGGATCCTCATCGCAAATCTCCTCCGCCACCTTATCACAAACACAAATCGCCATGGATGCATCGCTCCCCGCCGCCTCCTTACCATTACTAGAGCACCGAAAGCGATCGATTTCCAGATCAAATATATGAGATCTACACTCACTTAGGGAAGGTTGTATGTTGCAAGTTTACGCATGAATATTGATGATGTGGAAGATCATGAAGAATTCTGCCATAGAATGAAGAATAATCAATGTATTGGTACCACTATACCAATAGTTTTCTTTTTTGGGGTTTCTTGTTTTTTTTTTGGTTGAACTCTTCGATATAGAGTTAGATGGTCATCTAGTGATGGTCTTTATCGTGATTCAAAATGTTGTACCCCATTTCCCTTGAGTTGAGTTTTCATTTGCTTAATACAAGTACCAATCGTAACTAGTTCTCTTTTTTTATCTATATATATTCCTGTTTCTTAAAAACTAGAAGTTCCCAGGAAAGACCCAAATCAAAACCCATTCCCCATCAACATAGATAGTGTATATATACAGAAATGAGAATTAATCCCCGGTGTACTTTACATGGTTGTTGTCTCCCTCCATCGCCTCCTCCACATGACTAGAAGCATACAGATAACAAAAACTCGTTTAATACCCGTATACCTATTAACGTAGTAAATTTTTCTAACACTATTGTTTTCATAATGCTATTATAATTAAACCTAATTTATTTTTTCTATTTGTTTGATATGTCACGTACTAAACACTTATAAAAACATGTATACCACAAGTTTTGATCAGAATCGCAGTATATTATCGAATTCAATTCATACATGTTTTAAGGAATTAAATTGATAAGTTAACCATTATTATATTTTATATTCACATTTAAATTATAAATGTCTTTTATTTAGTAATGCATCACAAACTTTTAGACATACTATTATGCTAAAATGACGTGTAAAATCCCGCCATATCATACCATGATGTATATCAAATTTTAATAACCATGACAATAGATTAATTATGGATCTGATATCATACTCTTTCATGGCTAGCCAAGATTTCACTCCAGGTATAAAAAGAAAAAATGAGTGGGTTCACGTACGTAAGAACAAAAACATATAAGATGAAAGTTATTAATTTTTACAAGAACTCATAACCTGATTTCGTATTTTAAAAATTTTCTTAATACATTTATAAGCTAGAATGTCATCAATACCCGTCTCAAGTTCACCACAATATTAAATTTGAAAAACTTATTATATAAAATAGTAGGTACATATATATCATAAATTTTATTCTAGTTTGTTAGTACTTAGTAGATAGGTAAAACAGGCTACCATGACATATTAGATTTGAATCTCTTGACTAGTAAACAATTCATTACTCATATTTTTTTGGGTTGGTCTTGAGACCCATCCACTTAAGCATTGCCTGACATATCAAGTGGCATGTAGTATATGCGTTTTGGAATTTGCGTATTGAGTGTTGTTCAGCTATTTTAACTTCCAATATTAAATAAAAACAATATGATGAAATGAGTTGGTGGCAATTTCTGAACGGTGCGACCTGTCCCGATTTATCTTTAAAGTATTATTCGATTTGTAGTAGTGTGAGGCAGGGTATGAATAGTACTTTTGTTCGGTCATGTCTCGTTCGATCTCCCCATTCTTGATTTATTTTATCTTAATTTGGGTCAATATTTACTGTATTTCTCTTTTTTGACTTTTCTTAAATCATATTTTCGCTCACTCCTAAAACTTTAAATAACTGAAAGACTCCAATTTTTCAAATAATAATTAGACTCAAATATTAAGTCTATTATTTCTCTTTTTCATTGATACATCATTTTCCCTTTATTTTCTTGAGAAATAATGAAATTTTTGCGCCATTTTTCTTTAAATAACATGTAATTTAAAACGGATCGACATGTTCCGCTTCAAACCCACACGAATATCACCCAATCCAATTTGCACTTAATATGAAGCAGATAAAGATATCGAGATACCCGGCCTACCCACTCTCATCATCACTACCAGCGAAGTCACCTGTCTATCTATACCATCATACAAGAGACTTACCTAGTGATAGCCGCAACTTAGGTTAGTAACACGAAACTAAACCATTGCAGACGTCGCCGGACGGCGTCCAATGTGCGATTAACCGGGACATTATCCGTTTCCATGCAATTGAAAGCCAAAAGATCTTTTTGTCGTCTCCTAGATAATAATGTGCTTAATTAGTAGGATTTCATATGTTTATGTTTCCCAATTTCCTTTAATTAGTTTTCCCATTTTCTTAAGCTTGATTCTTTGACTGGTCTCCGGTCATGATTGAATGGGACGCCGATTCTTCATTCCTTAAGTTAAGGCACAAACGGCCCGTGAATCAAACAAGAGAGTAGTGAATAGTGATTGTTTCTATGCATATATGGTTCACGATTTGACCCTTTCAAAGTATATTATTGTAAAGAAGTTGTTAACTAATATGGAACTCTCCCAACAACTGGAATTATTAGGATTATTTGATTTATAATATGATATTAATATTGGTTTGTCGGTCCTTGATGTCACGTGTTCAATTCCTGACGAACCCCATATTAATCATTGTATTTCCTTGTTTGCTTTAATATATTAACCATTATACAAAATTATTGTATTAAAGTACATGGTATGGTTGTGCCTGTACAAATTTCAAACCCGTCAGTAGGCTTTCATTTGAAGGGACGTGTAAAAAAATGGTTAAATACCATATATGAACCTATCGCAACAGCTCAAACTATTCAGACCAATTGGTTTATTGCAATTAGCATTAGCTTATTTGAGAGTGTACTCATCTATAAATAGAAGATTAACCTTCATTCTTTCTTCATCTAACCAATACACACTCTAATAATCCATAGTTTCCCCACCAAAGGCCATTAAAAAATGGGCACTATTTCGCCTCACAACTTGATCAACATGTGCATTGTGGCTATACTAGTCGCCAATGTCGCCGGAGATGGTCATCATCACCTTGATGGATACACACCTCCGGCTCCTTATACACACAAATCATGGCCGCCTCCTCCACATGCTTATTATTATAAGTCTCCCCCGCCGCCATCGCCACACTGGTCGGTGCCGTCACCACCACCGCATTCTTCTCACCATGCCGATAAGTTTGGATCTCACGACGACACATACTCTCCTTCTTCTGATCATACATCTAGCCAGAACCATGAAAAGCCTTCGCCGTCTTCTCGTGCCCACAAGCACCCTCACAAGTCTCCTCCGCCGCCGCCTCATCATGGCAAGAAGGATCCTTCTCCGGTCAAAAAACCTCATCACAAGTCTCCTCCACCGCCGCCTCATCATGTCAAGAAGGATCTTATGGCGCTGCCGCATCCTGCCCGCAAATCTCCTCCGCCACCGCACCATGGCAAGAAGGATCCTCCTCCTCGTGCCCACAAACCTCATCGCAAATCTCCACCGCCACCTCACAAACGCAAATCACCACCAACGCATCACTGAAGAATATAATCCACGTCTATGTCACGGTTTATCGACTTCTTCAACGGGTTACTCGTCACTGACTATGGATGACGAGGAAGATCCTGAAGAATAGTATTTTAGAATGAAGAATAATTAAATGTATCGATCAAGTAAGATTGGTATACGTACTAGCTAGTAGTTTACCTTTTGTTGGTTTCTTGCTTTATCTGGTTGATCTCTTCGGAATTTCATAGTTAAGATCGTCGTCTAGCAGATGATATTTACCATGATTTCAACATTGTACCTTTTTCCACTTTATTTGAGTTTGGTTTCCTTAATACAATTACCATCATTAATAGTTGGGTTCCCATTTATTCTAAGTGACAAAGTACGAGGAAACAATGTCGTTATGTAGAATTGACGTCATCACGGACTTTGGTGATCGTCGATTTATAAATCATAATGATTAATTATCATGTGGTTAGCAACCATTCGTGGTTGGTTGATTAGAAAATCATGAAGTTAATTAGCTAGAAATATTCATTTGCGATAGTTAATCCCACCTTCCACTATGTTAACCAAATTGAAACGGTTAAGGATCCTTCATGGTAACCCCGAATAAAATATTCAAATACGTCTTTACCAAAAGTGCCAACAAGAATTTAGTCTAGCGGTAATACCACTAGTCTTGAATCTAATGGTCTCAAATTCCATTCTATTAAGTAGCTCATAACCACAAAAAGTAAACCTATATCATCCTTATAAAATAACTTTACAAAAAGTACCAGATTAACATCCAAGTTGTACGTGTACATCAGTGTGTCTGGCCAGACGACAAGCCGTTGGTTTTTAACTGAATATTAATGATTTGTTAGTGATTTTTTTCATTTTTATTAATCGAATCGAAATTCGAGTATGAAGCCATCGATCAGGTCTCAATATTAACAGAGTTGACGAGATTCGTCAAACTAGACCTCTCGATTATAACTAGCCTCTAAATATACCATGTGGTGAAAACCAATTAATACCCAATAGTTCGCTCGAATTGAGAGAGTTATTAAGTTCTATAAATCCAGTCCTCTGCACCATTCCATTTACATATCAGATAGCCCCATCATTAATAAACTATATTTTTGTTTTCCCAATCGAATCATCAATATATATTAGTACACATATTACTCTATAGAATCATGTGGCTAAGTAAGCCCCCTAATCTTGACCCTCTGTACGTAAGAATGGCATCTCCAATCCACATTAACAATATAACAATAGAGCACGTGTCTGGTCACACTAAAATAAACCCGTTACAGCACGTGCAACTATTGTCGTCGGTGTAGGCGCACTATTTTGACTAAGAAACATCAAGCCAACTTATAAATAGCTATTGCTGTCTCCTTCCATCATCCGTTCCAAGTTTCTTTCCATACGTTTATATATGATGTCGAAGAAGATCTCGGAAGCAGATAATGATGGTGTTCGTCAGCCGCAGAGCAGCAGCTGGGATTCAGATCTGCAGTTTCTAGATTCCATTCAACACTTCCTCCTCTCCGGCGGCAGTACAGATCATCACTTCGACGACATTAATACCATTCATCAGTCCCCAATGGATGACACCTGGACGCCCGTACAAACAAACTCTTCCTTATCCATCTGCGCCGGCACCAGCACCAGCAGCATTGCCGCCGATCTACTCCTGCCGGCTGCCGCCGCATCCGATCATCATCAAACATTCCTTTCCCCGCCTGCTGCAGAGTTGGCGGCAGCTGGCAGCCACGTGGCTTCATCTTCGGGTACTAGTATTACTGCGTTGAGCGATGAGGCCGGGGAGAAGAAGAAGAAGGGAGGTGGTGGCGGGTGGCGGTATAAAGGAGTGAGGAGGCGGCCGTGGGGGAAGTACGCGGCGGAGATTCGGGATCCGAAGAGGAACGGAGCGAGGACGTGGCTGGGGACGTACGAGACTCCACAGGATGCGGCTCTGGCCTACGACCGAGCCGCTTTCCAGATGAGGGGAGCCAAGGCGAAGCTCAACTTCCCTCACCTGCTCAGCTCCGGTAACCACCCTTCCCCGCCGCCGGCATGAGCCCATTTGGCCGGCGTTGTTTGTAATTTTATTTTGTATCAGGGAAAAGCTCTGCTTTTCAATCAGAGAAGAAGAAGGAGGATTCGACCGTTGCTCAACACGACAACGTTTCCACGAAGGTCTCGGCTGTTGTTCACAACGACGCCGTTCCTGCGAAGACACTTAGGAGCTGGAGTGATGTCGTATCTGGCAAAGTGCACTTTACTCCTCAAAGTTGTTAATTTTACTTGTTTCCACTTTAAGCAATGTACTTTCTTAAGCCACAAGCTTTGTCTTCTTCCTCGTTCTGTCTGTACTGAACATCCAGCTATATAAGCTGAAGTATCAATGAGAAACAATCAAGCTCTTTTCCTCTCCAACCCTAAATGGTTGTTATGGTATCAGAGCCTCTCAAACCCTAGCCGCCACCATCACAAACAATGGCAGATAATGCTCAAAATGAAGCAGCCCCTCAAACCCAAAACATTGACCCAATGTCCGATCCCTTCTATCTTCATGGTTCTGAACAACCTGGTCTCCAGCTTGTTGCAGAAAAACTCACCCCAATCAACTACATCGACTGGAGTAAAGCATTCCACAATGCCCTTGGTGCCAAGAACAAGCTTGGTTTTGTGGATGGCTCTATTCCAGATCCAGGCCAAGGACATGTCAATTCCTGGGCTTGGACAAGAAACAACATCATGGTTCTTTCCTGGATCCAGCAAGCAGTCGACCCTGGGATCCGGAAAACCATCATGTCCTGCAAGACAGCCATGGAAGCTTGGAGAAGCCTTCGTGACAGATATGGTCAGGGTGACATGGTTCGCATAGCTGAGCTCATTGAGTCCATCTGCACACTCAAACAAGGTAACTCTTCTGTCACAGAGTACTATGGCAACCTGATAGCTTTAAGAGATGAGCTCGATAACTACCAACCCATAGAACCATGTGCTTGCACCACTACCAGTCACAAAACCTGTAGAGCTATGCAATTAGTTCTCGGATACAGAGACACCAACTATGTCATCCAGTTCCTCCGTGGCCTAAATGACAACTTCACAACTGTGAGGTCCCAAGTCTTGTTTGGAGATGATTTACCCTCCATTGATCGTGTCTTTCAACGCATGCTCCAACATGAGCGCCAGCTATCTGGTTCCCAATCAGCCAAATCTCCCACTTCAGAAGGCATGGCCTTTGCTACTCAGACAAACCCTAACTACCAGGGCAGAAGGCCAAGACCTTACTGCACATACTGCAAGTTCACAGGCCACACAGAGGACACCTGTTATCACAAACATGGCTGGCCTCCTGGAATGGCCAATCCTAAGTCACCAACCACTTCAACCAAACCTGTGGAATGCACTCACTGCAAGAAACAAGAACATACTGAAGATAAGTGTTTCCAAAAACATGGCTACCCACCCAGAACTCTCAATCGAGCCAGGGCTTCTGTCAATGCCACCACAACTGCTGCTGAAAATGATGAAGTCCGACTTACCAAGGCTGAATATGACAAATTCATGAGTATCATGAAGGCACAAGAGGCAGGCAAAGCACCACAACATCCTGCTTCATCCTTTTCTGCTGCTACCTGGACCAATTCCAACCCTGCTCCACCAGGTACATTCACTTTCACAGCACATCATGACTGTTTACCACAACATCATTGGATCCTTGATACAGGAGCTTCAGACCACATTGTCTGCTCCTTGAACTATCTGGTTCAGTCAAGGGAAGTGTCACATATCCCCATCACCCTACCTACTGGTGCTCAAGTCTATGCCACTCATGTTGGCACAGTCACCTGTGTTGCAAACCTGGTTCTTGAAAATGTCCTCTTTGTCCCACAGTTTAATTTCAACCTCATATCTGTCAGCAAACTGACCACAAACCCTTCAATTCACTTAACCTTTTTTTCAACTGTCTGTCTGATACAAGATTTGCAGTTGAGGAGGATGATTGGTTCTGCTAAGCTCACCAATGGCCTTTACTTTTTTGATAGCACCCTTATCTCTAGGACTCCTAAACATTTTGCTGCAGCCAATGCACCAAATTTTGACCTCTGGCACTATAGGTTAGGCCATGTTTCTCATTCCAAAATCCCCCTTCTGAGGAAACTCTGTCCATCCATAGAAACTGATAGCTCAAATCCTTGTGATACATGTCATTTTGCTCGCCAAAAGAGGCTTCCTTTTCCATGTAGCAACACAGTTTGCAAACAAGCATTTGAACTCATACATGTTGACTTATGGGGTCCTTTTGCTGTTCCCAGTCATGATGGTTTTCGTTATTTCTTAACCATAGTTGATGATTTCACTCGTATGACTTGGATCATCTTGCTACCAACCAAATCTGAAACTAGAACTAAACTGCAACACTTCTGCACTCATGTTCAAACACAATTCCACCTACCAGTCCAAAGGATCCGCAGTGATCAAGGCAAAGAGTTCAAAATGCATGATTTTTTTAACACAACTGGAATCCTTCATGAACAATCTTGTGTTGAGACTCCACAGCAAAACAGCAAGGTTGAAAGGAAACACCAACACATCCTTGCTGTTGCTCGTGCTCTTAAGTTTCAATCAAATCTTCCCACTGGTTTTTGGTCAGATTGTGTTAGACATGCAGTTCACCTTATCAATCGAGTTCCCACTCCTGTTCTAGCCAACTCCACACCCTATGAAAAACTTTTCCACAAACCACCAGACCTCAATGACCTCAAAGTATTTGGTTGCTTATGCTATGCCTCTACACTGTCCAATCACAGAACCAAATTTGACCCTAGATCACGCAAATGTGTGTTCCTAGGCTTCACCTCAGGCATCAAAGGATACAAATTATATGATCTAGCCAGCCATGAAATCTTCACCTCTCGTGATGTCCACTTCTATGAAGACCATTTTCCTTTCCAAGTTACACAGCCAACTGATCCCCCTCCCAGTCCCCCCTCTCCATCCTTCAATCCAGCCTTGTTTGATGACTTCAGCCCCCTTTATCAACCCTCTCCCTCAGCTACATCAGACCAACAACCCCCTACCAATGATCCCCCCTATGAGCCAGACTCTCCTGCTCCCAGTTCACCTCCATCCCCAACCACCCTTCCATCCCCACCTCCTTCACCATCACCACCACCCCCACCACCCACTAGAAAGTCCACCAGAACTATAAAACCACCCAGACACCTACAATCATACCATTGCAATCTCCTTCAGCAGACTTCTTCTACCAATCATTCTCCACAACAGCAACATCCAGGTATCACTTATCCCCTCTCTTCTGTTCTTGACTATTCAAATCTCTCACCATCTCACAAACACTTTGCTCTGAGCATTTCCTCACTCAAAGAACCAGAAACATATCAGGAAGCCTCCTTATCAGATGAGTGGAATGATGCCATGAAGTCTGAAACAAAAGCCCTTGAAGCCAACCGCACCTGGGACATTGTTGAACGTCCTGCAAACACAAGAATCATAGGCAACAAGTGGGTATACAAATTCAAGTTCAACTCAGATGGCAGCCTTGAACGCAGAAAAGCCAGGCTTGTTGCCAAAGGGTTCAATCAACAAGAAGGAGTTGATTACCAAGATACCTTTGCCCCTGTGGTAAAAATGTCCACCATCAGACTCTTCCTCGCTATTGCTGCTTCTCAATCTTGGTTCATACACCATCTTGATGTCAACAATGCATTCTTGCATGGTGACTTGGATCAAGAGGTTTACATGAAGCTGCCACAAGGTTACTCCCCTCCTCCAGGATTTAAACATCCTGTGTGCAGACTCAGGAAGTCCCTCTATGGCTTGAAGCAGGCTTCCCGCCAATGGTTTTCCAAGCTAGCAGAAACTCTATCTCAGCAAGGCTACCAATCCAGTAAGGTCGACCACTCACTCTTCTTCAAGTCCACTGCCACATCATATACTTGCATCCTTGTCTATGTTGACGATCTGGTCATTGGTGGCAATGACCTCGCTGAAATCACTAAGCTCAAATCTTACCTCCACCATGAGTTCAGCATCAAAGATCTCGGCAACCTCAAATTCTTCTTGGGCATTGAGGTTGCTCGAAGCAAAACTGGCATCCACATCTCTCAGCGCAAATACACACTCGAAATCTTGGAAGAAGCAGATCTTCTCCATGCCAAACCTGCCTCCACCCCAATTGACTACAAGCAGCACCTATCTGCTTCTCATTCTGATCCATTTCCAGAACCAGAGACTTATCGCCGATTGGTTGGAAAGCTCATCTATCTCACCACCACTCGACCAGACATCAGCTACGCAACTCAACAGGTCAGTCAATACATGACAAACCCCAGTAATGACCACTTCAAGGCTGTTCTTCGCATCCTCCGATATCTCAAGACTGCTCCTTCTAGTGGCATTTTCTTCTCTGCCAATTCTTCTCTCCATCTCAAAGCTTTCAGCGACTCTGATTGGGCTGCCTGTGTCGACACTCGTCGTTCAGTTACTGGCTACTGTGTCTACTTGGGGGAGTCCCTAATTTCCTGGAAGAGCAAGAAGCAGACCACAGTTTCTCGCTCTTCCTGCGAGGCAGAGTACAGAGCCCTCGCATTCACAGCCTGCGAGATTCAATGGCTCCTCTACCTCCTCAACGTCTTCAACATCAGCCACCCACAGCCTGCTACCCTCTACTGTGACAACCAATCGGCCATCTACATCGCCGAGAATCCGACATTCCACGAACGCACAAAACACATCGAACTTGACTGTCATTTTGTTCGTGAGAAATTGCTTGCAGGAACGATCAAAATCCTCCATGTACCCAGTCAACATCAACTGGCCGACATCCTCACCAAGCCTCTCTCGCCGGCCTTGTTCCAATCCCTCTTCTCCAAGCTCGGCGTGCACAATTTGTGCTCTCCGGCTTGCGGGGGGGTATCAGGGAAAAGCTCTGCTTTTCAATCAGAGAAGAAGAAGGAGGATTCGACCGTTGCTCAACACGACAACGTTTCCACGAAGGTCTCGGCTGTTGTTCACAACGACGCCGTTCCTGCGAAGACACTTAGGAGCTGGAGTGATGTCGTATCTGGCAAAGTGCACTTTACTCCTCAAAGTTGTTAATTTTACTTGTTTCCACTTTAAGCAATGTACTTTCTTAAGCCACAAGCTTTGTCTTCTTCCTCGTTCTGTCTGTACTGAACATCCAGCTATATAAGCTGAAGTATCAATGAGAAACAATCAAGCTCTTTTCCTCTCCAACCCTAAATGGTTGTTATTTTGGTATCCTTGAGCTTTTATCGGAACTTTTTTCCATTTTGTTTCATTATGACAATTTGAGCTTTATCGTAGTTCGAGTTTCTCTTGGAAGGGAAAATCATTTCCTGCGGAGAAAGAACCGTCTTTGGGCCGAAACGGATTGAACTGTGGGCCTCTACTTTTGGGCCCAAAATTAGACAGCAATCACAAAGCATAATCAGAAATTAGGTTCGTAATCACTAATTAGTTGAATAAATACCCGATGCCTAGGGTTTCATTCCAAACCAAGACATCACTGAGATTTATGTCAAACAAAACATCGAAAAATGCCGCCGCTGCCGCTCAACCGGCGGCGACGCTAACCCTAACCCCGTCCAGCACAAAACTCCCCGCCGACATCGTGATCGAAATCTTCAAGAAGCTCCCCGCCGCCGCCACCCTTGGCCGGCTCCGCTGCGTGTGTAAATCATGGCGCGCTCGTCTCTCCGACCGGGCTTTCCTCCGCCGGATTCTCGTCACAGACGACGATCGCGATGGCAGCCGTCAGATCATGATATTCCGTCTGACCGGCGATCAAAAGCCGCTCTTCTCTCCCTGCTCGTACGACACTCTCCTCCCCTTATCCGTCGATCCACCGCAACCGGTCCTCCTAATCTCCACCGCCGGCGAAGACATGCGCTGCAATAAATGTCACGTTGTGGGATACGACAACGGCATCTTTTGTTTGGGCGACGGGATAGACGATCCCGGCGGTAAGAACATCTTAACCATCACAATTTTAGGTCAAATAGTTTTGAGTATGGTCACTATGTTTGTTCATTTTTTTCTTTCTTTCCATGTTTGAGATTACTAGCTAGTACTTCGGTTGATAAAATATGTAGTTAGAAATCTTTTATTTTTGTCACCAACATTTAGGACGGCAAATGAACGGAGCCAACTCGTAAGTAGCTTTTTTGTGTTGTGATCATGGTTGCTTGTATCGCGCGAGTTGAGTCGCGAATTAAAATGCTGGATGAGATTACTTTTCAATGAGCTAACCTTTCCACTCTGTTTGGGAAGAGGGGTAAATGGGAGGAGGGTGCAAATGTGAGGGGTAAATACAGTTTCCAACACATTTGCACCTGTTTGGTTAATTTGGAACAGTAGGGGGTGCAAAACGGGAGTGCAAATTTACTGTTTCGGCTTACCCCTCAAATTGGGGTGCAAGGGAAGGAAGGAAGAGAGGGGGAGAGGGAATTATGAAATTTTGTTTTTCTAATTGTGTTATATATAATTATATAATAATTAATATTATCAATTTCTTCTTTTTATAAATATCATTAATGTAAACATTATTCGGGGTTGACCATTTGACTCGGGAAACAAGTTTATCAATGTTCGTCAAGTCAAATCTAGATCTCTTGGTTGAATCGAATTTGCATTGAAAATTAGAGATACGAGGTGTTTGTGAAAAAGATAGAGAGAAATTGTTTGGTTAACTCAGTTTATTTGAATAAATAGTTAAAACTTACAAATTCGAACGTGTTTGACTAAGTTTGACAATTTAAAATTAAACTAGACACGAAAACCCTATATAGGATGACCAGTTACAAGTTGAGCTTCGAGTTTTGAGATCGCTCGATCAATGATTATACAATTGTCATAATTAATTATTATTTGAGCATTATTATATAATAACTATTTTTAGTAAAGTATATTTATTATTATATAATTATATTTATTTTATTATTTTATGATAATATTTTAAAATTTTAAAATCTATTTTGTAATCTAAAATTTATTTTTAAAATCTATTTTAAAATAATATAATTACTTACTTTTCACTCTATTTGCACCCCCCTACTTTTTCATCCAAACAACAATTTACCCCTCCACTTACACCCCCCAGCAATTTGCACCCCCCAACAATTTACCCCTCAACTTGCACCCTCCTACAATTTGCACCCCCTTGTTGCCAAACAGAGCGTTCGTATTCGAGCTGAACAAATAATAAATAAGACGAACTCAATCGAGAAAATTCGAATCAATTGTAACCCTGCTATACCACACATTAATTTTTTTCAGGTTTCCATCTACACAACTATACCACACATTAATTTTTTTCAGGTTTCCATCTACACAACCCGGCGACCTCGGAGACCAAAGCATTACCCCCGTCGCCATTTACCACGACGGAATATAGCGGCGGCTCTTGTGGCCACATGTTCGGTTTCGACTCGAAAGCAAACGACTACAAGCTCATCAGGCTGAGAAAGGTCATCTACAATCACGCGTGGAAACGGGTCGAGGACGGCCGGAACGACGAGGGTGTCAGTTTCGCCGAAGTCTACAGCTTGAGGAACGATTCGTGGAGCAAGGTCGAGACCGACGTCAACCTCTACTGGTTTTGCCTCTACACGGCCACCTCGGCCCTGGAAAGCCACGACGGGAAGTGCTACCGTTGGGATAGACAAGACTGTAACGAAGAGAGGAAGAGGACGAGGGTCCTCTCTTTCGACCTGGCGAAGGAAGCGTTCGAGATGGTCGAGGTTTTGGATCCTCTGGCGGAGAAGAGGCCTGCCGACTGGTACAAGGTGACGCGCCCTCGCCACGTCGCGTTCTGGAGAGGCTCGATGGTGGCGGTTTTCGACGGCGGGAGGATGATGCCGGTCGGCGCCATGCTTGAGATATGGGTGATGCTGAAGTTTGGAGAGGCGGGTTCGTGGGTGAAGCTGTATGACGTGCCTCGGGGGAGCGACGGGAGGGATTACTATAGGTCTCGCCCTCTAGGGTTGTGGAAGGACTGGAAGTGTGTGTTCGTGAAGAAGAAGGAGGAGGAGGAGGAGAAGAGGTCGGTTCGTGGGGGAGAGGTTCTTGCGTTCGATCCCGAGACTCGGGACGTTGCTGGCCTCGAGGTTCGAACGGATTTGGAGGAAATTAGGGTCGTATGGGATTATGTTCCCAATCGGGTTTCGTTGCTAGGGTTTTCTGACGCAAAATGATCGAGTGTTTCGTTTCGTTTTGTTTTGTTTTTTGTTGGTAATCGAGTTTACCTTTTCGATTTAGGTTGTTTCTTTTGTTTCGTTCAAACTACTATGTGCGCACTCGAATTTGCATGCATGTGTTAACGATTCTTTGTTTAAGGTTCAATCGTGGTTCAACTGTTTCATACCGCTAAATATAATCTATCAGTTTAGCGTTCGATATGAGGTTTTTTCTTGTCAAACCGCCAGTACAATACAGTTTTTTCAATTCTTGATTATTTGTTTAATTGTCGAATTTTCTCATTGAATTAACCTATACTATCTTACCTTTGGTAAACAACACAATATTTGAAAGGACACAAGCAACAATTAAGCAGTCTTAAATTTAATTAACCTAGGGATATATATATATCTAAAAAAAAAAGCAATTTCTCACAGACCCGGCAATGTACTTTGAGTAGGGCTGCAAATGAGCCAAGCCGCTCGCGAGCAACTCGGCGTTCGAATCGGAAAAAACTCGTTCGACACTCGACTCGTTGTTTAACAAGCCGGCTCGCGAGCTGGCTCGTTAGTAAACGAGCCAAACTTGAGCTAGGCCATGCTCGACTTGATAAGCTCGTGAGCTAGCTTGATTCGGTGGCTTGTTGAGCTAAGCTCGCGAGCTGACTTGTTTAAAGCTTGTGAAAGGATTAATTACTTTTCTGAACATGAAAATTATCTTGTTAATAAGGATGTGTATGAAAGTTAGATGTTATTTTTAATTTTTAGTGTTGTTTTTATCATTTTTAATTTCTAATGTTCTTATTTGTACACATTTTTCAGCAAGAATGGTTTCAAATCGAGCTTATCTTGAGTCGAGCTTGTACTCAGCTTGACAAGCTGTGTTAATGAGCATTTATCGAGCTTTATCGAGCGGAGCTCGAGCTGGATTATTTTTAATCGAGTCAAGCTCGAGCTCGAGCTGGATGATGAAAATTCGAGTTCGAGCCGAGCTCGAGCTAAAAAATTTATAAATGAGCCGAGCTCAAGCTAAGCAAAAACTCGACTCGACTCGGCTCGTTTGCAGCCCTAACTTTGAGTATACTGGTATATATCCCGCCGGCCGTTATCCCAATCTATTATCCGGTATCTATGTATGTTGTTGCCATTGAATGTTTGTCTTTTTCCCTTTAATTTTCACTCTAAAGCTAATCGGTTGACTGTTTCTGTGAGTCGGTACCGATTCCTTAGTGAATGAACATTTCATAGACCAAACAAAGAAACGATGGTTTCTATGCTTAACAAAGTTGGACCATTTCAAGTGATTACAATTTATATGTATCATATAATTAGCTTAATAATGTAAATGTCCATGTATAAATACACACACCAACCTCCCCCTTCTTCATTCATTCTCCATCCCCATTCCGGCTCACCAAATCCATATATATATAGCTTCCACACTCATAAGTACCCTCTTGCAAAAAAGAAAACCCTAACTTCATCCAAAATGCCCAACATTTGGGCTCCACGCTCGATCACGCGCGTTATGGCACCGTTTCTGGTGCTACTGCTAGTAGTCACCAATGTGACGGCAGATCATCACATTGGTGACTACACACCTCCGCCCTCGTACTCCGACAATCCCTCGTCACCGTCACCATCAGAACAGGCTTATTCACGAGTCTCCGCGAACCCATCTCATCCACACTCGTCGTCGTCGTTCTGGAGATTGCCACCTCCGATATATTACAACTCGCTACACAAGCCTCGAAACAATCCACCAAAGTTCTATGTTGGTGGTGGTAGTAGTAGTACTCCTCCTAGTCGATCTTATCCTGAAAAGTACTACTCTTCTCCACCACCACCACCGCCACCGCCGTCGCCTGATCATTACTATGTTCCAAAGTCTCCACCTCCTCCCCGTCGCGTCCACAAATCTCCACCGCCACCTTCTGATCCTTGGTCGTCTCCTCCTCCACCTCCTTATCATTACTAAGGGACTAAAACTTGATCTCCAACCACCTAGTTGAGTTTATTCAGTGCTCCGGTACTGAAACTACGTGTTCTACGTTATGAGTTCTATGGCCGACTATAATCACAAACCATTTATCAACTTCTTCAAGAGACTTCTCGTTGATGGTGATGGATGACGAAGTGGAAGATCATGAAGAATTATTATTTATAGAGGATAGTAGTTTACGCATTGGCAAGAAGCTTTTAATATTGCGTTGTTTCCCCTTACTGAAAGAAAGAAAAAAAATGTTGTTGCATCACTTCCCGTTATTTAAGTTGTGATTTGATTGATAGAATTATGATTGTTGCTACTTTTCTCTTTATAGTTAATTTACCTTTCCTCTTAAATTAAAATTACGAATGTATGGCTCGACATGTTATGATTTATGAACTTCTGAGCTCATTCGATGTTAAGGAGCAAGAAAATGTTTTTTTTTTCTTTTTTTTTCTTTCTTCTGTTGAATAGGGAGCATGAGATAATAATGATATATCAAGGACAACTGGAGTGGACAGATCAAGGTCAAACTTTCGCACGCGTTGAACCAATTAAGGTCAAACATTCTTCGTACCTGCTCCATACGCGGAAGCCACATAATTATTAATTAGTACTTTTAATAGCTAGAGAGAGATTTCCGTTAATTAAAAAGAATTTAAAGTGGTATTGTTTTCCGGTGTAGTGCTATCAGTGACGGAAACAAATTATGGTAACAAAAAAACTATAGCCTTCAGGAGTACTAGGAACCAGCAATTAAGAATTTATACCAATCTCTTCTTTGATTTTTCATTTATTACATTGGCAATACAAGAAAATTAGAATACAGAAACACACATATATAGAGATCAATCTTTGTGGACCCTTTATTATAAACAAACACAAATCTCTTCGCAAAATAACAATAGTGCTTCAAACTGAAAGCCTTTCATCATTTCAAATCAAATGATGCCATGGTTTATCTCGATGTCAAGTAGGTAGTTCGACCTAGTAGTGCGATGGAGGAGGGGGTGATGAATAGTAGTAGGGAGACGGTGAAGGAGACTTCTTAGGAGGTGGGGGAGAACTGTAATGGTATGGTGGCGGTGGAGACTTTTTAGGAGGAGGAGGGGACGAGTAATGGTATGGTGGTGGTGGAGATTTCTTAGGAGGTGGGGGAGAACTGTAATGGTATGGTGGCGGTGGAGACTTTTTAGGAGGAGGAGGGGATGAGTAATGGTATGGTGGCGGTGGAGACTTTTTAGGAGGAGGAGGAGATGAGTAATGGTATGGTGGCGGTGGAGACTTTTTAGGAGGAGGAGGGGACGAGTAATGGTATGGTGGCGGTGGAGATTTCTTAGGAGGCGGGGGAGAACTGTAATGGTATGGTGGCGGGGGAGACTTCTTAGGAGGAGGAGGAGATGAGTAATGGTATGGTGGCGGTGGAGACTTCTTAGGAGGAGGAGGGGATGAGTAATGATATGGTGGTGGTGGAGACTTTTTAGGAGGCGGGGGAGAACTGTAATGGTATGGTGGTGGTGGAGACTTCTTGGGAGGTGAAGGAGAACTATAATGATATGGTGGTGGCGGAGACTTCTTAGGGGGTGGGGGAGAACTGTAATGATATGGTGGTGGAGGTGATTTCTTCGGTGGAGGAGGGGACGAATAATGGTATGGTGGTGGAGGAGACTTTTTTGGTGGTGGAGGAGAACTGTAATGGTATGGTGGTGGCGGAGACTTCTTAGGAGGTGGGGGAGAACTGTAATGGTATGGTGGCGGGGGAGACTTCTTAGGAGGAGGAGGAGATGAGTAATGGTATGGTGGTGGTGGAGACTTCTTAGGAGGAGGAGGGGATGAGTAATGATATGGTGGCGGTGGAGACTTCTTAGGAGGAGGAGGGGAAGAGTAATGATATGGTGGCGGTGGAGACTTCTTAGGAGGTGGGGGAGAACTGTAATGATATGGTGGTGGTGGAGACTTCTTAGGAGGAGGCGGGGATGAGTAATGATATGGTGGCGGTGGTGATTTCTTAGGAGGTGGGGGAGAACTGTAATGATATGGAGGTGGTGGTGATTTCTTCGGTGGAGGAGGGGACGAGTAATGGTATGGTGGTGGAGGAGACTTCTTAGGTGGTGGGGGAGAACTGTAATGGTATGGTGGTGGCGGGGACTTCTTAGGAGGAGGAGGCGATGTATAATGGTACGGTGGCGGAGGAGACTTCTTTGGAGGTGGGGGAGAACTGTAATGATACGGTGGTGGAGGTGACTTCTTTGGCGGAGGAGGTGATGAATAGTGGTAGGGTGGTGGTGGAGATTTCACCGGAGGCGGAGGTGAACTGTAATGATATGGTGGTGGTGGTGGTGAGGCATAGATGTAAGGCTTGTTGTCGTGGCCATCGGCAGCCACATGTGTCGTGGTGGTGGCGGCTACAAGGCAAAATGCCAGAGCACAAAGCAATTGATGAGCTCTTCTAGTTGTAGTTCCCATCTTGTGAAGAATGGGATGTTTGGTTGATGAAGAATCAAAAGCAAAGCAAAGGTCTTTATATAGGGGTTGTGGTCTATTAATTTTTGCAGGACAAAAGATATTATAATGTTGGGATTATTTGGCTGGTGAATATTACAGCCTGGACTCCAAGAAAATTGCAAATATATGTCATTGTTATATATATGTCACTGTATTTCAACGGTTCCTATTGGTGGTTTCCCACTACTTTGTAGATCTCCATTGCCATTTCTCTATCTTGTAGATAAATAATAGACCAATTTGGCATTTCATTTTGGGGTATATGATACGACTTTTATGAGAGGGTTGGTGAGGGTTTGTATATATTTGATTGATTATTGCATGCATATGGTAATCAGTGATCATATCATACAGCTTATAAGCTTGTGCATGTAAACGCGCTTTGATTATGTGAGAATATGTGATCATTAGTCCTTAATTATTTCTAAATTCGATTAAAATCAATTCAATTTGAAGAAGTAGAGAAGCGAACAAGGGCTTGGTCTAGAGTTGAGAGTGGTTGCTTCATTTCTTTTTTTTTTTTTTTTTATTCCTATGTTCGAAGGTGAAGAGATGATGAAAATTGTCGAAATTCGTTTCAATTTGTAGAGTTTTGATAAGATTGGACAATTT